ACAAGCGATAAAAAACCAATAAACTTGAATTATTATGAATACAAAACGTTTTGGTGTTCGGTTATATTATGATAAGTAGTTTTATTAAATGACTTTTTAATGTTTTGTTATTTAATTTGTATAATTTGAAGATATTGTTGTGCTGATTAAAATCAAATAGTTATTTTATTTTTATTAGAATGTGTTTTTTATTTTATTTTTATATTTTATGATTTTAAAATGATTTTTATTCGAAGACAACGATTTTTAAGATTCATGGCTTGAGCAACAGATGGCATAAAAATCAAATTCTGTATACACATTTGTGAAAATAAAGATTTTTAAGAAATTAAGGTTTTCTTTTCATATTAAAAAATATTTATTATCGATTTCATTAATGGTATGTTTAAATAAAAACATTTATACAGAATATTCGTTTCATGTTTTATGCAATAGATGGAGTAACTAGTGGAGTGCATCCTGCAAGTGCATTCAGTTTAAAGTTATATGAAAAAGTAAACTTTGAACATAATATGGCGTGAAAATAAATAGTATAACCTTTATGTCTCTTCGTTGAGTGACCTCGAGATATATAGAGAGAAATCTTGTTATTACTAATAGTAAATTTGAATACTAGGTACCTACTACTATTTGTAACTAAAACTTTTCATTAGACATGGTTTGGACAACTTAATGCTATTGTTTAAGCTTAAGATTTTTTTTTTTTGTATTTTAGTTAGTTTTTTTATTTGTACTTAATAGTGTAAAATATTAGAAAATCTGATATCATTCAATGTTTTGAATTAATGTTACTTAATACTTATAACATATTGTATTGCATTATAAATACAAAACCAACTAAATTTGACCTATGGCCGATATCATTAAAATATTCTTTATAAAAACTTACAATTACTAATGATTATTTTTATATATTTAAATATTTTTTCAATTTGATATTGTTTACACATTTTTGTACTTATAAAGGGTCTATCAATAAATATACTCTTATATTGATTAATGTTGAAAGATACAAAACTGAATATAAAAGAAACACTCTAATAATTTATATCATCCAATTGATTCTGAACCACTGCCAAGGTTTACTGCCGGTTACTGAATGTATGTACGTTTATTAATATTGGTCAATCCATCATACCCTCTAAATAACATCTTCAAGTCGTATCTTATATATAATTTATAATAGGTACTAGAGTAGGTATATTGCTTTCATCAAGTAAGTACTATAGGGGTTACTTAATTTATATAATGATTTTGCATTGTATGTACTTACTGTAATGTAGTAGTTAATTGTAATATTTTTTTCCGTATTATTTAAAAATTAATATACTTAGATGACGTAAGTAGTATTTTTCTTATTGAAGCCTATAAGAAAGACTGTATGAATACACTCATATCTTTATTTAGTTTCTAAATGTTTTTATATCGTAAGTATAAATGGACCATTATTTTTTTTTTTTGTAGCAGGCAAATAGGCTACTTGATAATCATAATTTTATTTTATCAAGCCATGAGATACATAATCCAATTGCATGGGTACCTTAATGTACCTTAATGTACTTACATAAAAGGCATATCTGAAGAATATTTGCTTAAGCAGTGTGTTTGTATGAACAGTCAGGTATTTAAAACATAAGGAATTTATATAACAAGTACTTTGAACTGGACGAGAAGTACAAACATAACATAGGTACTTACATTATTTGTATAATAAAGATATACCTAAATATTTTAATTTTTCATAAAAATTTTTCCCAAATTTACTTAATACATAAAAATTTAAGGAATTTGTAATATGGTGCTAATTTTCTTACGTAAGACGAATGGTTGGTACCTATATAAAAAAATAAATTATTAAAAAAATAATATTGGACTACTTACACATCATTATTTTAGTAGACAACCTTTTATTTTTTTTAATTTTAATGAATCAATTAAATTAAATACCCATTTACCAACTGAAAAAAAACGTTAAAAGATACGAGTTAATATACATAAAAAATCCTCTTATACAAGGATGTTTATAAACAAATGATATTTTCTACTTAAATTAAAAACAAATCAAGTCTCTAGAACAGCATAAGAAAATCCAAAAAAAAGAATAGGTACATAATACTTCCTCAATACTTAATAACATATCTATTGACATTAACAAGTGGGAGGTCAGAATAAACTGGTGTTATATAAATATGACTATAAAAGATTGATTGGATCGATCAAAGATGTGATGATCTCTGAACACATCAACAATAATTAGTACTTACTAACAGATTGTGAGAACATAACTCACTTTATATGTATTAAGTGATATTTTAACAGCACTATAACGATACAATAAAAGTCCAAAGGATCGCATAATAACAAAGCACGTGGTGTCGTAAAACATCGATTTTATGTGGATGTTTAGCCCCGGAGGCGTGTACGGGACGCGAGCCTCACTGAATACGACTTACGTTTCATTCACGTGACGTTTACGATCTTTAAAGTGGTTGTAAAAATCGTGTTTACGACTGAGGCACGCGACTGCGCCCGCGCATATTACACGATAAATGCGAACCGCACCGCGTATTGAGACATTTAGATTATAATATACATTATATAAATGTTTAATGATACACACATTATTTGGTTGGGAGTTTTGTGGGACAATTGTTTATTTTTTATTCTTTCAGAAGTCTTGTGTGACCGTCGACACTTAGGTGTATCAATAAAATGGCATAATTATCTCATATTTATTATGAGAGCTATAAATATTGTAATACATATTTATTCTTACATTAAAAGCTTGCTATGTTTAATTGCTGAATTTTATATCAATAATCCTTTAAAGATAACGCGGTACTTAAACGCACTTAAGATTAGTGGCGCCATCTTTTGAAATAGTTTCAAAATTAAAATTTTCGAAATTAAGATAAGTAAAACAGAACTGTAACTATTATTTTATTGCTTGAATCGTGTAAATTGTTTCTTAATTATGAAGCGAGACATTTATTTCCAATTCATTAAGATATTCTAACGTGACAGATTAAGTAATCTACTAAGGAAGCCTTTAATCTTATAAGAAAGCCACATCCTTTTAGATTATTACCTAATGGGAATGATTTTTATGAGTATAATTCAATTCATTCAGTTGAAAAAAGTTGCATTTTTTTTAATTATTTTAATGCATGTTGTATAGAATCCTTATCAGTATGTTCATTGCGTTGAAACCAATTACTTTAAATTATTGCTAGTAGCGCTAGTTCTTTTCGGTTTTCTTTGTAGATATGCATTTTTTATACGACCAACACATGATAGTGGATTACTAAGTTTTTAAGTATAAACTTTCAGATTAAATTGTGAGCGGGTATCAAAAAGATAATTCTATTATTTAAGAATTTCGTACCCAATGTATCGTCGAGTGCATGTAAGAAAAGTCTTTCTTCTGAAACATGTTTTATACTGAGTTCTGGAGAAAATTCGAAACATACCTTTCTACAAAATGGTTTTAAGACAGATCTTACTTCAAAATAAAATATATTTTGAAAACTAGCATCAATATCTACAAACAAAAATGTTTCTATATATTGTTGAATACTTATTGCCTTTGTGTTACCATTGAATATAAATCTTTCAAGTAACTTACATTAATGTTAAAAAACTAACAATAAATCGGAGGATTTAACTATAAATATATGAAGTTAATGTTTCTTTGGATAAACGAAAAATAGGAACTGAAAATTGAAGTGATGAATATTTAATAAGAAAAGAGTTAATTACATGAAAAAATCGACGAAAAATTATATTTAAATATTCCTTTTGGATGATAAAAGCATTTAAATTTAAGAACCGTATATAAAAAATGTTGATCTTTTTAAATTAATGATAAAATATTTACGCTGGTGTAAATAATAATTTAATTATTATAAAATATTTTTTAAAGATTTATTTTATATTTTTTTTTTCCATAAATTACCCAATGTTACATTAAATAAACATTTTAATTAATTAATATATTTTTTTGATTAAAATAAAAAAGATTATTTTAATTGATGTGTTAAATTTCCATATCTTTTTTTAATATTTTATGCTAAAATTTTTAAACTCTTAATATAATCCAAAAACAGCTCTTGAATAGTAGAGTTCATTCTCATATATCAAGATTGTGAAGACAAGTTACAGAGATAAAAAAACGTACGTAGTTACGTACTTACAAATATATAAAAATATATCATAACCTGTATGTTATATGCAAAAATCTATCTGAACGTAAGTTTTTTGTTAGTGAATATTTGTTTAAAGAGTTGTTTATGTACAATAAAAATACGATGTGGTTGTCAGGGGCCATTCATTCGTTTGATGGCTTCATTTGAACGCGCGGGCCGAGTGCTTACGATAATGCGCTATTGTTTACCCCTCGATAGTGCGTCTTCAACTACTTGAATGCTACACCGCGGCAGAGCGAGACGGATATATATACTGCGATACCAGACACTTTGCTCTCAGCCCGATGTCAGCTACCGTCTCTGTCACGCATATGGAGATCTAGTGAGTTAGACAGAGACGGGGATAGAGCTCGTATAAAACAGGTAGTAGAAGAAATAATAATCATCTTTACGACTTCTCACTCTATTCAGCACCTTGTTACGATACTGGAAGCTCATTGTGGCCCGACTGAGGACTGCTTGTAAAATCATTTCTTTAGTGGCCCGTTTCACTAATTGTACGTCTATGAGTTTACGACTTTGCGGCTTAACTTTTCAGTAGCGGTCATTATTTTGCCTTTTGTGACTTTTTTTTTGCTAGCCAGTAAGCGTTAAGAGGCTTTTAAGTAGTTTAAAGATGTAATAATTCAAATGCGTGTAGTTAATGTTTTGTTTGTAAACTCATTACGAGTGTTATTGTTTCTTTGGAGATGTTTAGATTATTTGTTTAGTATCTATGTCTTAGAGTTGTTCGGTTCAAGCGGCACGTGCTTCAGTGATAACACGAAAGAGCGTGACTGATAATATTTATAGTGATTAGCGAAAAGGGGATGGAACAATGATGTTGGTATGCGCGCGGGGCGGCGCGGAATAGACTAGTGGCTGAGCGGGCAGCGATGAGCGACAAGCGACGAGCGGAGAGCGGAGAGAGAGTAGCGGACGCTCAGTAGGAACTTGGACAGTAGTCAGTAGACTGCGTGAGTCGAACCGCGTCGGTCGCTCGCACGGTCGCGCGACACACGCGGCTAAACTTCGCTCGACGGCGCACGGCTCGCATGTACTGAGTACGACGAACAGCTCAGACATACACGTGACCTATACCTAACACTCTCCAAACACGTGCCCTAATAAAATAATCGTAAAAAGTTAAACGTTTATCACAACATTATGACGCTCCAGTGACGTTTGATAGGCGATCAAATTAATATAGTTAATAGGCAGTACGATAGAAGGTCGCGATATCGGGCCGTTGGAACGAAATGACATAAGTGTTGTCCGAGTGACGTTTGTGAACTGGCAAAATGAACTCATATTTCGAGCAGGGTGGCTTCTATGGGGCGCATGGCGTGCACCAGGGCGGCGGTGGAGGAGATCAGTACCGCGGGTTTCCTTTGGGCCTGACGTACGCACAGCCTCACGCTTTACACCAGCCGAGGCCGCAAGACTCGCCTTACGATGCCTCAGTGGCTGCGGCCTGTAAGTTATATGCGGGGGAACAGCAGTATGCTAAGGCGGATTGTTCGAAGGCTGGCGATCAACAGAACGGCTATGGCGGGAAGGAAGCCTGGGGGTCGGGTTTGGGGGCCTTAGTGAGACCCGCGGCTTGTACCCCAGAGGCGAGGTATAGCGAATCTTCAAGCCCCAGCAGAGCCTTACCCTGGGGTAATCAATGTGCTCTACCGGGAGCAGCGGCCTCTTCACAACCAGTACAACACCAACCTACCAACCACACCTTCTACCCATGGATGGCCATCGCAGGTAAGACATAATATATTAACACTCTCAAAGGTCGCATAGAAAAATTTATATTAGTAACGGTAAATAACATACGTAACACTAAAACGCTGCATATGATTCAGATTATTATCAAATCTCGCATTCCTACAAGACACCAATAAGAATTTCAGGTAGCGTAACTAAAGTATCAATAAAAATCACATAAAATGAAGGATCCCTCGTTAACACCTTATTAGTGCGACACGTTTGAGTGTCATTCAAACTTTATTGAACGACTATAAAACCTATATAAAAGTTATCAGACGGTGATAAAGACGTTTTATTAAAACACACGTTTATACCATTATTATATGTTAACAGAATGTTTCATCAATAAATATATTATTTTTATTATAATATAACATTTAATGTTTTCGGATATCATTACTGATGATTGTTTTTTAAACCGTCTGGAGTCTTATCTTGTTTTATTTTAATATTTTTAATTAATGTTTTACGTCATCCAGAGATTTATAACATTCGGAAGAATATTTCAAATTAAAAATTTAAAAAAAAATGTGTTACGGAAATAATTTTAAATCCTTTATTTAGTAATAAATAAATATATAAAAGATTTTATACCCTTTAAAAAAAGTTTATTCGTGCGTAAATATTTCTTATAGTTTAAATAATTCTATATAAAAATTAATCTTATTGGTGAAGTAATATCTGTTAAGAGAATGTTACATTTTAGGGCTCTGTGTCGAGCGCGGGCGCAGCTAAACCCGGGTCAATGGCCCGGTCTAGTTTGGGAGCATTATTATTATCTTAGCTTTAAATGACCATTCAACTACTTCAGAATGCGAACTTGACACTAGACAAATGATAAATTCATATTGAACTTGTTTCCAATACGAATTACAAACAAATGCTTACATAGAACAATAAAAGGATTATAAAAAAATTAGCTTTAAAAATATAAGTGAAAAAATAAAATAAAATGCTTTGTAATTTTTATACAACGATAAAATAATAATCTAGAAATTATTTACCCCTAAACGGATAACGTTGGAAGCGATAACGAAAAATCTATGAATTTCCTGTGAACAAAAAAAAATAATCGTAATTAACGCACGTGTGGTCCCGATTCTCATAACTCATGTAGCTTGATAAATTTAAGTAACACAACTTAAAAAAAAAAATAAAACTAACTTAAATAAGTAGTCGAGATGTCGGCCATATTTCACTCGGGTTCACGCAACGCGGCCCGCGAAAACAATACAAGGCCGTGGCCCGTTCGAGAACTTCAGAATCGAATCCATCTTTAATAATTTGAATTCGAAATTCGAAATTCAAATTCTATTTTTTTTTATATTATCTGTGGCATACATCTTGTTCTCTGACCGTATATTGAACCTCTATGAAGCTAGTGTTGTCACCTTCATTATAATTTTTAATTCCATTTTTGAATTTCGTTTCTGTGTTTTATAATTACTATGTAAATGGATTCCGTATTAAGATAAAAAGTCACATCTTATGGTGGGGTAATTTGATAAGCATAACGTTTTAAGGCTATGGAAATAAATTTACAACTTCAAATGTCTCTCATAACAAATTTTCAATACTATTGTACAGATAAGTTAGTATGTGTCGGAACGGGATCTTTTAAGAGGCGACTAAATTTAAATTAATTATTTGAGTGATAAAATTAATTTCGAATGTTTTTCATATGTAAAATGTTCAGAGGTTCCCTTGCATCTAACCTGAGAGCTAACCCTATAATTTCTAAACAGGTTCCAAAATTGGCGACTGAATTTCGCTTGCGGCTGAATATTTTAAATGGTCCTTTATTAAAGGGAAATGAGATATTGTAATGACCACCTAGTTATTTACTTCGATGTGTATTACATGATACGGTCAATTTAGTTATTTTTATTACAAAACAATTCCTTTAATGAATTACCAAACGGTTTGACATCGAATTATATTTTATTCATTAATTCCATTTAGAACAATTATTATTATTTAAGTGTTTTAAATTGGAAATAAAGTAACATTGAACGGAATAGACATACATGAAAATGTCAATTCTTTAGCTTTATGCAGAATAAAATTAATTAAATATCACCTGTCTCTACTTTAGCTTATACAGCCGATGTGAATTAATATATATGTACTTACTTATATAATATAAGAACAATTAATTAATTTTAACGTAGCCAATAAAATATTCCTTATACATCATTGTTAGTTATGCACTAAATTCGTATTTTTTTCAATCAATTTCAAAGTATATGTTAAAATTATCCAAGATGGCGGTCCTACTTGTAATTTGTAAGTTCAAATGCTTCGACCAATCTTTGTTATAATGGACGCACCTCAATTATTTAAAACGTGCGATAATGTGGTTTGAACCTTCACGGAGACTTGACTAAAGAACTACTTATATTTTGTTAATACTTACAATAAAAATAATATAATGTAATGAATTATTTTACATACAATTCTGTCTCTTATATTATATTTTAGCAGAAAAAGATATTATATAAAAATTACATAACTTAGTATTAAGTAAAATTTCTTAATGATGTTAACATATTAAATTATTTCATTTTAATATATATAAATATATAGTTACATACAAAATTGTTTTTCGTAGCGTGACTCACGCTCGCCTGTAAGATACTCTACTTGGTATTCAATAAACATCTATTATATGTATATTCGAACTTTTACTTTTGGATATGACATTCACTATTTTGTATACATAAAAAGCTTTTATATAATAAGAAATATTACATATATTTTTATTCGATATAAAATATTTTTCTTTGCTTTAGCATCCAAATAGTTTAGTGAAGAATTATCTTCAGTGTAGAATGTCTTAATATCCAACTGTAAATACCGTATCTATACTAAAATTAATAAAGTATATTTTATTTATTAACACACAATATTATATTGAAAAATACAACATTCTCTTAATATACACTTAAATTATAATATTATAACACAAGTAATAATTTATATAAAACATACTAAAGAAATATATCTTAGATGTACAAACACTATGCAACATATTACTATTCATACAGACTAGTTTGTCAACAAAAAATACAGGTAACACAACATTCGATGAATGTTATTCTATATTAATATACAACCTCTTTTCGATGAATATAAATTAATTTTAAGATAAATATAACGTTTTGTTTCTTAAAAATAATAATAAAAAAAAAACAATTTTATTTAATTTAATTTAAAGATTCACACAATACATAATTCTGTTAGTTTGTAAACATCCGTCGTAAACACTAAGGCCTCGGCCTCGAATCTCGCGGGTAGCGGGGCGGCAGCGGCGGCGGCACGGAAACGCATACTATTCTCCAAACTAGAGGGGAGGGGGCACGGAGAAATGTATGCGTTTTCGTGCCGCCGCCGCTGCCGCCCCGCTACCCGCGAGATTCGAGGCCGAGGCCTAAATCTTTGATTCCTATAGAATGCATTCTAACGCATTGTGAGTCATGTGGCCCGTCAGAAGAATGCTCCACATAATGTTATTAATGTGTTTTACATGCAAATGTTAGGTACGTTTTACATTCGTACTTACTATACCTAACTATATTGTTTTTACAATTCTCATATAACTGAACTTCTTTACATATAAAACTTGCTAAAGTAAGTAAAAGCAACAAGACGTTCCAAGTCAATAGAACAGTTAATAAAGGACGTCGTACGTCAATAGTTCAGTGTAATGCTTCCCCAAATTGGCCCATCCACCGCACACAATCAAAACAAACAGAGTACACACAAAAATAACAACATAATAGCTTCAACAGTCGCCATAAACTAATAATGGGGGAGATATGTTTTATGGCATTCGAGTTTTGAATACGTTTGAGGTTTTTTGAAATATTTAGTGCAGCAAAAAGCTCGTGGCCGAGTGCACGTTTGTTACTCTGTTTTAAATGTTATTTGGTTGTGTTTAATGTTGTAGTGTATCTTGTAAGTGGGTGCGTACGCGTCTCCCGCCAGCCCGCGCCGGCGGCCATCTTGAATTAATATCGATCATAGTTGCAGCTGTTAAGTGATAAATACTATGAATCCGTGTAGTGCTTTCTTTAGTGTCCCCGAGATCTGGAAAATATTATATTATCATTATATATTAATATCAATTAGTATAAAAAGATTTTAATTTATTTTAAACATTTGAATTGTAATGAGATTTGTTGCCGAGTGTAAGATAGATTCTTTAAATATATAATTTATGTTAAACAAATTTAGCTGTTTTATAATTAAGTTGTGACATGAAAATTTTGCGAATATCATTAGTCATGATTAATATTAGACATTCTTTGTATGTATTGTAACGTATTTTAAGAACAGAATATTGTTTAAATATATATAACAGTATGAACTATGGTAGTATAAAGTAAATGAATCTGCAATGTACTAGGGTCCTGTTATTACGCGTTGCATTGGAAATCATCGGTTAGTTCAGATAAAACCGTGACTACGGATATCTTACAATTGTACCGAATGAGCTCTTTGTTTGATGAGAAATTGAACAATTTTGTTTGTATATAATTGTAGGTTTAACGACCCGCATGCGAAAACACTAAGTTGAAACAAGAACATACGAAATGTCGAACATTTAAAATATTGTGTCAGATGAATTATTACGAATTTTAATACTAAAATAATACTTTTATATTTACATTGAACCAAAATTAATAAAGTTCAGTTAGGTAGATACATCAGTCTAAAGAAACATATATATTTATTAATTATTATTTAATACATACGGTATTCGACATCGAAGGATAAATAGGTATTATTATACATTCAGAGTTGGTTGGTACGCTAGCCCGAGGGACGATTTAGGGCATAACACCACATTGAGCTATTAAAATTAATAAAATATAAAGCAAATAAAACATTTTAAAGCTATATATAAAACAATTAAAACGTAAACATTTTCATTTGTAAGAATAATCTTCACAGCATTAACATTTAAGGCGGTCTGGTTTTGAAACGAATGA